CATGGATTGGAAGAATCAATATCATCAAAATGTCCATTCTCCCAAAAGCAATTTATAGATTAAATGCAATACCAATCAAGATACCGAAGACCTTCTCTCAGATCTGGAAAAAATGATGCTGAAATTCATATGGAGACACAGGAGACCTCGAATAGCTAAAGCAATCTTGTACAGCAAAAACAAAGCTGGAGGCATCACAATACCAGATTTCAGGACATACTAAAGGGCAGTTGTAATCAAAACAGCATGGTACTGGTACTGGTACAGAAACAGATGGATAGACCAATGGAACAGAATAGAAACACCAGAAATCAATCCAAACATTTACAGCCAACTTATATTTGATCAAGGATCCAAAACCAATCCCTGGAGTAAGGACAGTCTATTCAATAAATGGTGCTGGGAAAATTGGATTTCCACGTGCAGAATCATGAAGCAAGACCCCTACCTTTCACCTTACACAAAAATTCACTCAACATGGAATAGACTTAAATCTAAGACCTGACACCATCAAATTATTACAGAGCATTGGAGTAACTCTGCGAGATATAGGTACTGGCAAAGACTTCTTGGAAAATACCCCAGAAGCACAGGCAGTCAAAGCCAAAGTTAACATTTGGGATTGCATCAAATTGAGAAGTTTCTTACTGCAAAAGAAACAGTCAGGAAGGTGAAGAGGCAACTGACAGAATGGGAAAAATATTTGCAAACTATGCACAGATAAGGGGTTTATAACAAGAATCTACAAAGAAATCAAGAAACTCCACAATATCAAAACAAACAACCCACTTAAGAGATGGGCCAAGGACCTCAATAGACATTTTTCAAAAGAGGAAATCCAAATGGCCAAAGACACATGAAAAAAATGTTCAAGATGACTAGCAATCAGGGAAATGCAAATCAAAACCACAATGAGGTTTCACCTCACCCTGGTTAGAATGGCTCACATTCAGAAATCTACCAACAATAAATGCTGGAGAGGATGTGGGAAAAAAGGGACACTAACCCACTGTTGGTGGGAATGTAAACTGGTTAAGCCACTATGGAAGTCAGTCTGGAGATTCCTCAGAAACCTGAATATAACCCTACCATTCAACCCAGCCATTCCACTACTTGGAATTTACCCAAAGGAAATGAAATTAGCAAACGAAAAAGCTGTCTGCACCTTAATGTTTATTGCAGCTCAATTCACAATAGCTAAGACCTGGAACCAACCCAAATGCCCATCAACAGTAGATTGGATAAAGAAATTATGGGACATGTACTCTATAGGATACTATATAGCAGTCAAAAACAATGAAACCCAGTCATTTGCAGCAAGATGGAGGAATCTGGAACACATCATGCTGAGTGAATTAAGCCAGTCCCAAAGAGACAAATATCATATGTTCTCCCTGATCGGCGACAACTAACTGAGCACCAAAGGGGAAACTTGTTGAAATGAAATGGACACTATGAGAAACAGTGACTTGATCAGCTCTTGTCCTGACTGTTGATGTACAATGTAATACTTTATCCATTTTAGTTTTTTCTTGTTCTAGTACTATTGTTTGAACTCTGTAACTAACACACAATTATCCTTAGGTGTTCAAATTTCAACTGAAAAGTGATCACTGTTAGGAATTTTGAAAACATTATGCTGAATGAAATAAGCCAGTCCCAAAGGGACAAATATCAGATGTTCTCCCTGATTGGTGACAACTAACCAAGCACCAAAAAGGAAACCTGTTAAAGTGAAATGAACACTATGAGAAACGGTGACTTGATCAGCCCTTGCCCTGACTGTTGATGAACAACTTAATACGTTATCCCTCTTAGTATTTTTGTTTGTTCTACTTAACATTTTTGGTTGAATACTGTAATCAATATACAGTTATACTCAAGTGTTGAAACTTAACTGAAAAGTGATCGCTGTTAAATATAATAGTGGGAATAAGAGAGGGAAGAGATGTGCAATTTGGGACATGCTCAAGCTGACTTGCCCCAAACGGTAGAGTTAGAAACATACCAGGGGATTCCAATTCAATCCCATCAAGGTGGCATGTACCAATGCCATCTCACTAGTCCCAGTGATCAATTTCTGTTCACAATTGATCATAATGATAGGACTAAGAGCCAAAGGGATCACAGAAACAAGACTAGTGTCTGCATATACTAACTGATAGAATAAAAAAGGGAGAGAATGATCCAACATGGGAAGCGAGATGCACAGCAGACTCATAGAATGGCAGATGTCCTAAACAGTACTCTGGCCTCAGAATCAGCCCTAAAGGCATTCGGATCCAGCTGAAAAGCCCATGAGAATATTTCAGGCATGGAAAGCCAAGACACTCTGGGGAAAAAAAAAATGACCTAAATGAAAGATCTCCATGAGTGAGATCCCAGTGGAAAGAACGGGTCATCAAAGAAGGAGGTACCTTTCTCTGAAGGGAGGAGAAAACTGTCACTTTGACTATGACCTGGTCTAAATATGATCAGAGTTGGTGAACTCAAAATCTTCCATAGCCTTGGCAACTCATGACAAGAGCCTAGGGTGATTACTGATGCCATACACAAGAGTGTCAATTTGTTAAGTCAACAACAGGAGTCACTGTGCACTTACTCCTCATGTAGGATCTTTGTCCTTAATGTGCTGTACATTGTGATTTAATGCTATAACTAGTACTCAAACAGTATTTTTCACTTTGTGTTTCTATGTGGGTGCAAACTGTTGAAATGTTTACTTAATATATGCTAAACTGATCTTCTGTATATAAAAAGAATTGAAAATGAATCTTGCTGTGAATGGAAGGGGAGAGGGAGCAAGAAAGGGGAGAGTTGCAGGTGGGAGGGACGTTATGGGGGGGAAGCCATTGTAATCCATAAGCTGTACTTTGGAAATTTATATTCATTAAATAAAAGTAAAAAAATCTTTTTTTTTAGATGAATGCCTTTATTTTTTATTTTTTTTTTATTTTTTTGACAGGCAGAGTGGACAGTGAGAGAGAGAGACAGAGAGAAAGGTCTTCCTTTGCCGTTGTTTCACCCTCCAATGGCCTAGTGAGCCGCGGCGCCGGCCCAAAAAAATCTTAATAACCACAAAAAAAAAGAAAACTGGAAAATAATAGGGACAGGGCTAAATTATTGATCATAACAAATGTTAAAGGAAATTGTACAGATGGTCCTACAGAATCAAAGTGAGCATACCTGAAACAATTTTGCACACTGATATTATCCTAGTTTTCTAAAAAAAAAAAAAAGCACAGACCAATGTAGAAAGAAAAATGTGTTTTGAACTTGTAGTATGTGTAAAAAGTAAAGGAAGAAAGTTGGAAATTGAAAAAATAAGACTATTGGCTGGCGCCGCAGCTCACTAGGCTAATCCTCCGCCTAGCGGCACCGACACACCGGGTTCTAGTCCCGGTCGGGGCGCCGGATTCTGTCCCGGTTGCCCCTCTTCCAGGCCAGCCCTCTGCTGTGGCCAGGGAGTGCAGTGGAGGATGGCCCAGGTGCTTGGGCCCTGCACCCCATGGGAGACCAGGAAAAGCACCTGGCTCCTGGCTCCTGCCATCGGATCAGCGCGGTGCGCCGGCCGCAGCGCGCCGGCCGTGGCGGCCATTGGAGGGTGAACCAACGGCAAAAAGGAAGACCTTTCTCTCTGTCTCTCTCTCTCACTGTCCACTCTGCCTGTCAAAAAAAAAAAAAAAGACTATTTACTTCAAACTTGAACTTCCACTTGATTCTTGTGTAAAACTTAAGGAAATCACTGATGAATACTTTGATGACATGTTAACGATTTGATTTTCTTTGCAGAGCAAAGTGGTATGAAGGACAGGGAAGGAGCAGGGACACTAGTAATATTTCAGTCTTGGTGAATCTCTGAGGCCCTCACACTTAGGAATGATATCAGGAAAGGAAAATGGGTTCACTTTCTATTTGTGGTAATTTCATTGTAAACTTCAGCTTCTCAATTTGAAGAAATAAATGAAAAAGGTTTTCTTAGGCTTACCTCTTTGATCTTTCACAAATGCACTTTCAAATCATTATCCAATTTAAGAAACCCAAAAATTTTATATTGTACTACTTTACTTATATATTGCATAAAAGAAATGCCTTTGTTTTAGGGATGATACCCTCCATGATAATCCCTTACATGACAATTAATTTCTCATGTAAAATTTCTATAATTCATAATATATCTTTACTGTCAGCATTTAGTTTTCTTTTCTTTCTTTTTTGTAATTTTTGTATGTGAACATAATGACCCTGTAGAAAAGAATTAACATAATGCCCTACTGTCAATTGAACCACTTATTTTCAAACATATCCCTGGTTGACACTGGAGAACCTACTTTCTTTGTTCTTTCCCGTTTCCTAGCATATGAGGATGTAGCTAAATTGCTTGTGAGGAAAGTACAGTGTGTGTATCCTTGCTTTTATTTGAAACTGAAATATGGTGTAGGCCAACAGAGGGGATCTATGTAATCAACCCTATAGGAACAGTCTTAGGAATGAGGAATCGATATATTCAGAGTTCCTTGCTGGTAAGTTTCCATATATGTTCTTAAATTCAGTTCAAACAATTTCAATGTGTTCTGTTTATTTCACTGGGGAAGGATTCATGGAAACTTGCAGTATATTTCTTCCATATTTCATTCTATTCATTTTTACTTGGTGTTAACTTTCCTTTGCAAATTTACTGTATAATTAGCAACCATGATTTTCTTTTTGCAGTAAACTGTGAATCTTTCTAGCAAAGCAATAAAGCTGTCTTTGTTCCTGAGGACCTTTGATGCCTTTGATCAAAGGGGTGGCCCAGTGTGAAGGGGTGCCTGAGATTCCCAACTCCTGCTATTAATTCAGGGAAATCAGGCAAACTGGGTGGGCTCATCCCCTCAGAGTTCAAATGCAGAATTATCCCAAGACATGAGGAAAAATGGATTTGCAAAAAGTCATTAATAATATCTTAGCTGCTTTCAATCACATGCATCTACAAATAATACTTTTAACTCCTTCTTCAGGTCCCTAAGAGCAAAGCTATGGAACCACCAAAATAGCTACTGATGCTGGGTTCTGCCACATTGATTCTGCTTGTTTTTACAAAAACAAAAAGAAAGTAGGTTTGGCCATCCAAAGCAAGATTGCAGATGGCACTGTGAAGAGAGAAAATATATTCTACACTTCAAAGGTAGAGTGTAGATGATGTGTAGGAGAGATGGTTAATGATATGTTGTATAGAAATGATAATTACTTGATATGCTTCATAGATATTGAGTAATTATTCCTATTAGTAAAATTGTTATCACAATCCTCCTGTAACATCCAGTATCACAAAGATTATGACTTTCTAATTATTGCTATATCCAAATTTATATATTTTAAATGAAATTCCCATGATTTCCTTAGTATCAACTCCAAACAGTGTGATTCAGCATGGCTTGTGGAATCAGAGAGGGCTATGAGCTAAACAATGATACTCCTGATTTCCTGGTTTATTTTTTAAAATTCTTATTATTGTAAATATGAATTGACACATTTTAAAGAGTTATTTATCTGTTTGAATAAAGAGACAGAGGAGAGACAAAAAGAGATAGAGCCCTTCCATCTGCTGGAGGCCCCTGTGGCTACAACAGCCGGGTCTGGGCCAGGATGAAGTCAGGATTTGGGAACTCCAATCTGATCTCCTACATGGGTGACAGGGACAAATTACCTGGGCCATTTCTACAGCCTTCCAAGGTACCTCAGCAGAAATGAAGTTGCTAAGTGGAGCAGCCAAGTCTCAAACCAGCACTCTAATATGAGATGCTGGCATTGAAAGTAGTGGCTTAATCCATTGCACACATCAATATTCAAATATTCAAAATATTTTTCTGCTTATTATGTGATTAAAATATATAGTAATTATTACCATTGATTAATGGTTATAAGAATCAGACCACTGAATTTGTTTGTAAACTTTGTGAAGCATAACTCAAATGCTGATCATTAGCATTACATGATAAAATTTTTATCTCTGGTATAATTACCTTCCATGCATTGGTGGATTAATGAATAATAGCTAAACAAGTGAGAAGGATGATATAGTTAGTTCAGATCACAGGAAATACAAAATGTAATGTATTTTCTTTCAGTGTTCATCAGCTTTTAACCAAGGGAAAATTTCTCAGTATTATGTGAAGGAAACAAAAAAATTAACTAACATATTAATTCACCACAATTTTAATTGCTTATCATTTCAGCTTTGGTGCATTTTTCATAGACCAGAGCTGGTCAGACCAAGCTTGGAAGACTCACTGAAAAAACTCCAGTTGGACTACGTTGATCTCTACATTATTCACTTCCTAACAGCTTTGAAGGTAGGAAACTAACATCATAAAATGTATTTTACTTTGGCTATTAGCATGACCATCATTTTCTTGGATGATTAATTGTCATTGCTATAAATTTATTTATTTTTAAAGATTTATTTTATTTATTTGAAAGGCAGAGGGACAGAAAGAGAAAGACAGATCTTCCATCTGGTTCACTTCTCAAATGGCCATTGAAGGTCAGCAGAGGGACAGGCTAAAGGTGTGAGCCAGGAAGTCCATGACAGTCTTCCATGACATGGCAGAGGTCCAAGTATTTGTACCATTTTCTGCTGCCTTCCCAGGCATATTAGCAGGGATCTGGCTAGGGAATTCAGGCTCAAACTGGTGCTCCAATAGGGGGTCCTGAGGTCGCTGGCAACACCTTAACCTGCTGCGTCACAAAGCTGGCCTCTGCCTCTGATATAAATTTTAGAAACAGTTTCTAAGTTATAGAAACTGCCCAAAGCAAGTAAAGCAATTTAGTTTATTTGATTATGTAAAAGGGGAGGCCAGGCCATGAGTAACATACACATTTGAAGTAACGTTAGGAACTGCTTGTATTTATAGCAATCATTTTCTTCTGTATTAACCTAATTTTTGTTGGTTTTGTCTGAGCCTTTTCATTGGTGGCATAAATGGCTATGGGACAATTATTTTCTCATGGTCATTAATTTTGATAGCTTCTCTGTATCCTTTAGAATTAAAATTATTATTAAGAAAAAAGACCTTGAATGATCATCTGTGATTAAAGTATCTGCTCTTGGAACAAAATGTTTTTGGGGAGATGAGCAACATCCACTATTGGTGGAGATCAAGGCCAGGGAACTGGTAACTTTCCCAGTGAATGAGAGGTATCTCTCCAGAGAGGAAAGAACAGAGAAACACAAAGTAACATAAATCTAAGGGACCCTATTACAATCTGGAAAATAGTATTTATTAACATGTATAGTAAATATAAAAGAAAAGAGAAGGTCTGTAGTCTAATGACATTCCTTACAGACTTAATGCAGTGTATTTTGCAAATATGGGAGTTTGCTCCACTTATTTCATGAAAGTTTATTGCTATCTCCATAAGTATACTTCAGTGTTTTGCCATGGGTAGATGTCTGAATTTTATGAAATCGTAAAAAATAACTGCTTCTATTCCAGCCTGAAGAGGAGATTATTCCAACAGATGAACATGGAAAGAAAATATTTGACACAGTGGATAACTGTGCCACTTGGGAGGTGAGTACTCCCAGGAGAGAGAAAACAGGAAGTCAGAAGTGGGAGCATCAGATCACACTTCAATTTGTGGGAATGAGATATACAACTTTGGATTCTTTTTTTTTAATTGTTTTTTACAGGCAGAGTGGACAGTGAGAGGGAGAGAGAGAGACAGAGAGAAAGGTCTTCCTTTGCCATTGGTTCACCCTCCAATCACCGCCGTGGCCAGTGTGCTGTGGCCGGTGCACCGCACTGATCCGAAGCCAGGAGCCGGGTGCTTCTCCTGGTCTCCCATGGGGTGCAGGGCCCAAGCATTTGGGCCATCCTCCACTGCACTCCCTGGCCACAGCAGAGAGCTGGCCTGGAAGAGGGGCAACCGAGACAGAATCCGGCACCCTGACCGGGACTAGAACCCAGTGTGCCGGCACCGCTAGGCAGAGGATTAGCCTAGTGAGCCGCGGCGCTGGCAACTTTGGATCTTGAGATTTATGTCACCAACAAGTGTTGATGTACTGTAGTGGAGAGAGAGAAAGGCGATACTGGGACATAACAGAGAGAAGAATTGGGGCAATGATGTCAGGCATATTTTGCCCCCCATATACAATAATGTCTTTTGTTTTCTAAGGAGGATGCAGGATTTTTTTTTTTCTGTTGCTGATTTTCTCTACTAGCTTTTCTCTTTTGGTCAGTCAGTGCCCACTAGCCTCACTGTAATTTCTTGACAGTGTTCCTTTTAACTGTGTTATGCATTTATATTGGCAACCAATCGTGGAAATATTTCTTCACAATCTTTCCTCTCAGGCCATGGAGAAATGCAAAGATGCAGGATTGGCCAAGTCCATTGGGGTATCCAGCTTCAACCACAGGCAGCTGGAGATGATTCTGGACAAGCCAGGGCTCAAGTACAAGCCTGTCTACAACCAGGTGAGGACTCTCAGCCTCTTCTCCATTTGTTATTATCCTCTTCTCATACTACTGCCATGTGTCTAGTTGTTCTCCACTCCTGTTAAACTTACTTTGTGTAACCAAAGATTCTATCAGCTGAACCTCTGTATGGAAGGGTATGGATGAGTCTCCATTGTCTCTACATTTTTTAAAGGATGACTAGAAAAAGAAAATGTGATATATATACACAACAGAATACTACTTACCCATAAAAAGAATGAAATCCTGCCTTTTGACATCAAATAAATGTAACTGGAGACCATTGTGCTTAGTGAAAAACACCAATCCCCCCCAAAAAACCCCAGCAAATATCATGTTTTCTCTGATATGCAATATTTCATATAGAATACAAAAAAAAACCCAAAGTATAAGAATGAAACTGATATGTTTTGATTGTTGTTTGTAGCCCTTGTCTGTTACTGTGTAACAATAATCTTCCTACTTTTTACTTGTTTAACAGGGTTCACATTGTGGTTAGTGGTACAATAAGCCTGCAATTATAGAGTAAATTAAAAGCATGCTATTGTGAATATTAAAGGGAAAAAAAGAAAGGAAGGAAGGAAGGAAGGAGGAGGGATTGAGGAATAAAGGTAGTGAGGGATGTAAGTGTGGTTATCTTCTTATAATTGTCTTAAGGGAAAGGGTTTATTGAGAGGGAAACCAGACAGACTGGAGGGAAGAGACAAAGAAGGAAAAGAGGGAGAAAGAGCATGAGAGAGAGATCAAGAGACAGAGAGAGAGAGATTGAGAAAGAGCAAGCAAGAGTATCTTCTTATAATTGTATCTACAAAATACATGAAATCTGTTATTTATATTATTTAAAATTAAGAAGAAGATATGAAGGCTCCAAAATCAACATACACAAATCATGGATATGTAATACTGTTTATATTAATTAAAATAACAAATAATCATCATTTCTCAGTGAAAACTATGGGATTAGTTTGATTGTAAATATTATTTCATATAATACCAGACTTGAAAACATACTTCATTTAGCAACTTAGAAATAAAATGTTTTTTTCAGATAAGTTATTACTATGAAATGTTAAAAGCAAGTAATGCAGAAAAAATTAATCAGGTAAAAAAGGATGTGTAAATAAGAATCAAATTGGAAATCATGCAGAGTGTTAAAATAAGCAATTATATCACATGAAGAAAATAGACATTTTTATTGTAATGTGGGTGATACCATTAAAATATGTAAATCTGTACTAAGACGTTTTTGAAGTTGTAAAATATGTCCTTTTCAAGTTATAGGAAATTTGAATTGAACCATAATTTATATTGCATTTCTATGTAGAAAAATATTTCCTTAACAATATTAGGAAGAATTAACTCCATAAACTTGAACAATTTTCCATGTGCTAAACATTTGCTTAAGTGCATAATCTAGTTTATTTTTCAAATAAAATAAATTTATATCTTCATCAAAAACCAGAAAAGCTGAGGAGGTCTTAGTGCTGAAATATATGTAAGAATCTGATCACAAAAAGCATCAGTCATTAATGAAATCACGGGTGGAAGAGAAATTTTCCCAGATCAATGAAGTGTCCAAAGGATAATCACCTGATTCAGGAATTGTGGTGTGGTGATGTGGAAGAAACTATGAATAAGAAAGGCCATGAAAACATGAAGTTATGAATAAAGACAGTGTGAAATAAGTAAGGATAGGTGGTTTGGGTTTGTGTGGTGTTCAGATACCTGAATTTTTCCTTTTGGTATCTGATTTCAGGAATCTTGGACAGAGACATGAATCCAGAAAATATTAACTGGAGACTATGGTAATATGTGGAAGGTAAAAGAAATTACCTATTTATGTTGATACTAGTAACTGACAGAAACAACACTAAGGGATTTTTTGACAAAACTAGAGCCCATCTTGTTCCAAAGCTCACTTCAGTCTGCACCTCTTCCCTGCTTTCTGCCATTGAATCAACTGTGTAAACACAAGCATTCTGTACTTGGTGTTGTGTTTAACATAGCTTCCAGCAACTTAGAGTCACCAAGTACAGACCATGAATTTGGTATATAATGATGCAACATCTTGATTTTCAAATAAAATGTCACAAATTAGCAGAAAACTTAATATAATAATGCAGATATTTCATATTTTTTCACTTATAGTCCAACTTGTTGACATTTTTCATCTGCCCAAAGTAAGCAGGCATATATGAGTATGTTTGCATACATATATGCAATATTTTTCTCACTCTCCTAATAGTTTGTGGTAAGTAAGTGTTACTATTTATTCCTACAGACATCAGAAAACATCCCCTGTGTACGAAGATGCTGTCCCACAGTTATAGTTTCATTATTGTGTCTAAAGAAGTTAACAATTACTTCCTCCTATCACTTAACATCCAGTGCATAGTATAAATTTGCATTGTTGTCCCTGATTGTATTCTATTTAAAGTGTCATAATGTAGTAGTTCATACAATTTTCGCCATTTTCCTCATGCTCTTTCACCTAGTTAGTCAGAAATTTTGCGTTCCTAAAATATCCAAGTTAACTTTGTCAAATTTTCTGGATTTCTCAGATTGCTGTCTTATCATAACAGGTTAATTGTTTCTCTTCTCTAAGTTTATGTAAATCAGAGGTTAGATTTGAATACTTTTCTTTTTTATTATTTATTTATTTGAAAGGCTGAGTTACAGAGAGGGAGAGGCAGGGAGGTCTTCCATCTGCTGGTTCACTCCCTAAATGGCTGCAATGACGAGCTGAGCCAGTTCAAAATGAGGAGCCAGGAGCTTCTTCCAGGTCTCCCACATGCGTGCAGAGGCCAAGAACTTGGGCCATCTTCTAGTGCTTTCCCAGGCCATGAGCAGGGAGCTGGATCAGAAGTGGAACAGCTGGTACTCAAACCAGAACCCATATGAGATCCTGGAGCTACAGGTAGTGGCTTTAACTGCTATGCCACAGTGCCAGCCCCTGAATGTCTTATTATATTAAGTTTAAACATCTTTTTTTGTGAAGACAATGTCCTCAAAATGCTGTGTTCCTCAAATTGTACTCTAGTGCAAGGTACAAATCTTCACATTTTCTCACAACTGGTGATGGAACTTGTTCACTTGGTTAAGCTGGTTGGAGCCAGATCTCTTCTCTGCATGTATACTTCACCCACTGTAATGACTGTAATCTGTAAGTCAATAATATTCAACAGAGAAAGTAATATTCTATAATAAATTTTTATATAACAGGTGAGTTTTCATGTGTGATTTTCATGTTAGTTATTTCATTGGGATTTGTAAGCAATTATTTGCATTTTAACTATTGTGTATACTCTTCTTACTTGGCATTGTACTGTAAAAATTTCTGTACTTTATGTCCATATCAACTATAATTATGTCTATAAGACAAGGTAAACTTTAAAAATTTCCTTTTATTATAAAAAAGTTCCCATAATAATCACCATCAGCAGGAGTTAATAGCTTGTTTTTTTCCATCTCTCTATCTCCTTCTGTCTCCCTTTCTCTATCTCCTATTCTGTATATAATTTCTATGGATTTTCATGTACTCTACATATTACAATTGGTTTTACTTATTATACCTTTTGATGCTAAAGTCTATCCAAAAGTTACCTGTGAGATTCATATCAAGCTGAAATTTTTCATCTTTCAGAGATGCTCTAATGAGTTTTTGTAAAACTTTTGCTCTCAGGCACAGTTCAATGCCTACGGCTCAAAGGAGTGGTTTCTTTATTTTTCCCATATCTGGTGTTTATCATGTCTCTCCTCAAGGAAAATGTGATTTAGCAGCCAAGATCTGTTCCACAGAGTTGTCTTGTCTCAGAAATGTCATATTTATACCTTTCTAGGGGACAACATTTTATTCATTGTTTTCAAAATATCATTATTAATGTTAATTTCTGTTTACGTTTCATTTTTCTTTCTTTTTTTTTGACAGGCAGAGTGGACAGTGAGAGAGAGAAACAGAGAGAAAGGTCTTCCTTTTGCTGTTGGTTCACCCCTCAATGGCCGCTGTGGCTGATGCACTGTGCTGATCCGAAGCCAGGAGCCAGGTGCTTCTCCTGGTCTCCCATGTGGGTGCAGGGCCCAAGCACTTGGGCCATCCTCCACTGCACTCCTGGGCCACAGCAGAGAGCTGGACAGGAAGAGGAGCGACCAGGACAGAATCCGGCACCCCGATAGGGACTAGAACCCGGGGTGCCGGCGCCGCAGGTGGAGGATTAGCCTATTGAGCTGCTGGCCTAAGAGAACTTTCCACTGTAGCTGTCCTTGAGTTTCATCTTCTCTGTAGCAATCTTTCAGATAAATCCTTGTGCTCTCTGCTTCTTTGTTAGGTTCTGTCTGTTTGGGAAAGCTGTCTTAAGACAGTTAAGATTGTTGTCGTAAAACCCTTGGGGTGTCTTCTAAAATGCTGCATGCAGTGAGCGTAAGTAACTGTCTTTCCTACTCAGTTGCTGAGGTTCATAATTTGAACTGTGACTACTTTAAGTCTTTTATCACCCACAATTTTGATTCTTCTTTAAACATATTTGTGATCACGCTCATGCAGAAGACTTTAACGTATGTCCTTGAATAACAGCTTTCAGAAAGTTTTAAGATCAGTGGTAAGACTTTCCAGAACTCCAAGGAGAAAAACTGGAAAATCTGTGGATTTCTCCATATGGCTAATGGAGATTAAATAAGAACTGCATGAAACTAAATGAATTAATAAATTTTGTGGATTTTTAAATGTTATTTCAAGTATTGTTGGCTCTGCATTTAAATATTTTGTCTTCAAGGTTCAGGAAAACTTTTCCCTATAATTTCTATAGTTTATAGTGTCTTGGTAAAGTACATTTTTTTAAACAGGGAAGGAAGTGTTACTTTTCACCTCAATTCCTCTAAAATTCAAAAACATCTATGAGAATTTTTGTTTATTCATGGCAAGGTGGTTAATTGCATGACTTCAGCAAGAATCTGCTCTCATTGTAATAGAACATAGTTGGAAGCATCGACATATCTATAGATCATGCAAAGAATGCTTGGCTTCAAGAAGTTCTAGCTTCACAGTGACTCAACTGAGTTGTCACTTCTTAGTAGTCCCTGAAACTTTTAAGTACTAGAATCAAAAAAATCCAAGTCTGCCTTAGACTAGCTTCCTATATTTGAAAGTTTTCCAAATCTGTAATTATTATATGAAAAATCAACTTTTGTTACTAGTCAGTCAACAAATTATAACACAACTACATCTAGAGTGTATCCTGAGGCAAACTCAATTTGTTATGTTCTTGTTGGCCCTTTTGAGCTTTGTGCTTACTGTCAGAATTCTACATAAGTACAATATCTAGCAAGAAATTCTCCTGACTGGGCAAACATGATGGAACATAGGAAATTATTTTAGAAAGGAACTGCTGGGGTGGTGGTGTAGTGGGTTAGGCTGCACCTGCAGTGCTGGCATCCCATATGGGTGCTGGTTTGAGATCCGGCTGCTCCACTTCTGATTCAACTCTCTGCTATGGCCTGGGAAAGCAGTAGAAGATGGCCCAAGTCCTTGAGCCTCTGCACCCATGTGGGAGACCTAGAAGAAGCTCCTGGATCCTGGCTTCAGATGGGCACAGCTCCAGCCATTGCAGCCAATTGGGGAGTGAACCAGCGGGTGGAAGACCTCTCTCTAAGTTTCTCTGCCTCTTCTTCTCTCTGTAACTCTGACTTTCAAATAAATAAATAAATCTTTTTAAAAAAGTTTCACAAGCTTTTAAAAAAAAGGAACTACTGCTCAAGTATACACATGGATTATCCTTCTTCTTACAGCAGGATTTAGCCTCTGGCTATCCTACTTGCTTGCAACACACTTAATAAATCTAATTCAGCAGATATGGTGAATGCATTTATGAATTGCAACACTGGCTTAAATTTAGAAGGAGGGACTATAATAATTTTGAAATATAATGTAGTAGAATACTGTCTTATTCTCAAAAATAGGAAAAAAGATAGGAACTTGAAAATATTCCATAAAGAGAATAAAAAGGAGGTAAAATTTGGGAGAATACATTACAATAAATGAATCTTAATAAAAAATGATTAATAGAATATATAAATACAGTAGATTGATTAGAAAAGTGTCCCCCAGTATGTCACTCTGATAGTCTCCATATTTTTGTTACATGAATTTGCACCTTCTTCCATTTAGGAATTATTCTACTTCTTTACTATGGCTACATAAACACAGTGAACCTATTTAAATGGACTGATATTTGGATTGAAACAGGAAATCCATAATGAACAAACATATGGATATTTAGCGATACAAATATTCAAGGAAATGCAAAACTAAAAGATAATCATTTGTAAAACCCAAATCACACAACTCCCTCATTTTACAAAATTAAAAAAGAATCATGGGCACAGAGCTACAGATTAAATTGCCAACTGAAGCCTGAATCACTAATCTGGTTTCTGTCCAATCATGATATTCTCTGGTCATGTTGACTTTCTTGTTGTTTTAATAGAAGAAGAATATACGTAAATCATCAATGCATGCACCAAAATAATGCAACAGATTTGGCCCAAAGATGTGTTGACATCTTACAAAGAAGCATGCATGTGGGGGATACTATATAGGATCCTTCATGCCTACAGCTCCATGCCCTCATCACTTGAATGTTCTCTTTGATTTACTTCTCACTGAAACCCTTGGTCAGGACCACAACCCCACTCTGCAGCTGGTAGTGAAGGGCAATTCAGGGCTGGAGTTCACTTGTGCTTTTCTGCCAAGGCATAAGGAATTGGATCATCCAAGAGAACTGGGGAGCTCTGGTCCACTCTGAAAGGAAAGGTAGAAAAAGTGAATGCCTGAGGCTATGTACTCAGTTTGAGAGGAGTCTTCCAAAACAGATTAGGAGATCTACTGTGGACCAGTGCTTCTCAAACATGGTCCAAGGATCAGCAGCATTGCTATCATTTGCAATCTTGCTGCAAATGTAAATTGCCCCCCTCTTTGAGCCAGTTGAGAGTGAACTATCCAAAATAAGTACTGTAAATCTAAAAATATTTAACAAGGATATTTTAGATAAACTTCCTGTTGTCCTTTCAGTATCATTTATCTCTTTCTGGTCTCAGAGTACTA